GGGCGAGGAGATGGAGGGCGGGGACCGGCGGGGGCGCGCGTGCACGCGGAAAAACATTAAAGTGCCACTACCCCTGTGGCCCATCGCACCAGCAGGAGAGCCTCTACTATTCGTTTTCGGTTGTTTTTCCCATCTGATACGAGTAACTAGGCCAACATGCCCCCCAAGTTCGATCCCACTGCCATTACTATCGGTACATGCCCGCCGTGACATTTCCTCCTCCTCTTCTTTTTCTTTCCCTCTCGCCCGTGTTGCCGCATCGTCCCCTCCTCTCGGCCCCCTGTGCTCACACACGTTCCCCCTCCGCCTCCCCCCCACCTCCCTTCCCCTTCTCCCCGGTTGTCTCCGGCCGCCGTCTCCCTCTTCCTCCCTTTCCTCCTCTTTCTCTCCACGCCTGCCCCTCCTCTTTCTCTCCACGCCTACCCTTCCTCTTCTCCTCGCCCTTGCTTCGCCATCTCCCTCTCGCATCGCCGCCGCCGCCGCTTCCCCCCCTCGTCTGTCATGCTCTCTCCCTCTGGCCGCCTCGCTGAACAGTGAACCTCCGTGTCACCGGTGGTGAGGTTCCCGGTGGTGCCACCCTGGCCCCCAAGATCGGTCCCCTCGGTCTCGCCCCCAAGAAGGTCGGTGATGACATCGCCAAGGGTACCGCCGACTGGAAGGGTCTGCGCATTACCGTCCAGCTCACTGTCCAGAACCGTATGGCCAAGATCGCCATCGTTCCCTCTGCCTCTTCCCTGGTCATCCAGGCCCTGAAGGAGCCCGTCGTCGACCGCAAGAAGGTCAAGAACAGTGCGTTCCACTTCCTCGCTTGCCTTGACACATGCGCCTCTTCACTTGGGTCCCTCCGCTTCTCTCTCTCTCTCTCTCTTTCCTTCCTGGGGTCGGTCCTGTGCTGCTCGTTCGCGCGATCCTGTCAATGTGTGGCCGTTTCCTCGGGAGGGGGAATGCTCGTTGCTGGGGCACGCCTGTCTCGCATCCCTCCCGGGAATTGCTCCCCAGCGAGGGCGGGGAGGACTTTTGCATGCGCGCCCGCGTCACCCTGTCGGATGCGTCTTGCATCCGACCGGTGTCGATGCCTGCGATGTGTCAGTGCAGGGGGCCCTCCGGGTCTGCGCGCGCGTCCCATGCAGGGGTGTTTGCCTCTCCTTCTCGAGGCGTTTGCAGGTTGTCCCCTCCTCGGTCACGGGCGTGTGTGTCTTCCTCTTCCTCGCCCCAGGAGGGAGGCATACCGCGCCCGGGTTTCCTCCGAGGCGAAGGAGCGCCAGAGGGCCAAGAAAAGAGAGAACGAGAGAGAGAGGGACCTCGGAGCAAGGGTGCCCCATGAGAAGAGGCGCCCATTCTTTCCCGCTGTGATGATATGCCCTCGGGCAAAGCATGTCCCCCCAGTGCCGCGCCGGAGCAGGCGCACATCCCTGCATCCATGTGTGTGTGTGTGCGCATCCATGCTTGACAGTGACTAATCCCCTCTCCGCCCTTGTTCTTCCCCCTCTTTCTCTCCCCTCCCGCGCGCGCGCGCTCAGTCGTTCACAACGGCAACGTCACCATGAAGCAGATCATCGACATCGCCCGCATCATGCGCGAGCGCTCCATGGCCAAGACCCTGACCGGCACCGTCAAGGAGATCCTCGGTACCGCCTACTCTGTTGGCTGCACCATCGACGGCATGTCCGCCGCCACTGCCACCGAGAAGGTCACCAGCGGCGAGATCGAGATCCCCGTGCGTGTTTCGCTCTCTCTTCGTTCTCTTTATTTTCGCCGTGTTCCCGTCCACTCCCCCGCGCGCGCGGCGCGGCCCCCCGCCCCCCCCCCCCTCCCTGCTGCCTCGCTTCTCTGCTACCCTGTGCTGACCCTCCTCCCCCGTCATCTTCCTCTCCCTTCCCCCCCGTCGCTCGCAGGAGGCCTAAATTTCTACAAAACTTCGTTGGGACTCACTCGACCTACTATTCCACACTGTTGTGTGTCTCTTTCACCCGGAAACCCAATACATGTGGCTGTGTCTCTCTTGCCCCTCCTCCCTCTGCCGCCTCCCCCCCCCCTCTCTCTCTTCCCCCCTGTGCGCGCGCATGTGCGTCCTTTGCGCGCGTCCCACGACGCTGACGGGCCCTCCCAACGTGTGTCCCATTTAGTCTCCCTCCCCACGAGGGGTCGCCCTCCTGTCGTGTGTCCCTCTTATGTGCCTCTTTTTGTTGGGTTGTGAGGGGGGTGTGCGGGCGGGGGGGGGTCACGCAATTGCCCGGCGTGCGCATGTGCCACAGGCCAATGTCCGGGCGTGCGGTGTGTATGTGTGTGCGCCCACCGCCGCTTGTGTCGTCTCCATAGGTGAAGTACCTGGGAATGGGGCGCCATGCGATTATTTCGAACGGGGTGAGGGAGGGGGCGTCAACCAGGGGGGCGCCCCCGGCATGAGATGAGGCGGCGAGATCGGCTGGGGGGGTGCCTCACGCCGGGGGGAGAGGCGACAATGCCTCTCCTTCCTCCTCCCAGTAGCCCGCAATCAATGTCCCCCTGCCCGGGTGCCCTTGCATCGTGCTGCGGCTCATGGCCCTGTCCGCCTGCCAGTCGCTCTGGGTCCCGAAGAGGGGGGGGGGTGACTTTCAAGGAGGGTGGATGGCCGGCCAAGATGCCGGCCATAACCGGTAGTCCGCCACGGGAGAGGGCTATCCTTGCCTTGCCTGTTGGCCGTCCGCCGCGGCTGGAGGACGCGGCCCAGCCCCGACCGGCTGCCGGGTTCTACATGACCAGCACCCATGGGCACAGAACAATTGGCACTACCCTCCCGGGGCTCAACTCGGCCGAGCCAGTTAACTCATTCGTGGGCAGTTCTCTCGTTCAGCACGGCCATGGTGTCCACCTAAATATTGTATATATACCATTTAGCGCCCATGTAACTCCACATCACCGTGTCCGAGTGGTTAAGGAGTCCGATTAGAAATCGGATGGGCTCTGCCCGCGTAGGTTCAAATCCTGCCGGTGATGCATCCTTTTGGCCCCGTCCCGTTGTTTTTTGTTGGCGGCACTTCCCGCGGCGGCCGGCTAGAGAGAAGTCCCTCCGGTTGCATCCTACCCCCCGCAATACAGGCGGAGAGGGGGGGGGGGCGGAGACAGCGGGGCCGGCGGGCGGTCCCGTTCAGCCGACCGCGGGGCGCGTCTGGGCAGGGGCGCGGGGGCCGGGGAGGGGCCGCGACACGCGAAAGCACCATGTCGTGTCGCGTTGTCTCCCCCTCGCCCGAGCCTCTGTCCGGCGGATGGTTTGATGGCCTCCGGCTTGTGTAGATGGCAGCCACGGGGGGGGGGGGGGGGGG